AGTAGAAGAACAAAGGGACCCCCTTTGTTCAGCTAAAACATACCGATTAGCTTTAAGTATATAAAATGTCAAGGGTAAATATTAAGAAAAATTAGGGTCAAAGTTTCAAACAGTAGAGGAAAAAATGGAGAAAACGAAAAAATATATATGTAAAGAGACAGTAAAGTGAGATGAATAGCAGGCACAAAAATGGCAGAAATAAGTCCAAATTTATCAATAATCATTACAAACATAAATACACTGAACCTGCCAGTTAAAAGAGATTTAACACAAAACCACCTTATACTCTAAGAAACATAAAGCATAAAAATACATAAAAAAATAAAGTGCGTTAGAAAAGGTCAGGATAATTATAAGAGAACAGGGTGTGATCAGGAGGACACAGTGGGAGTATGGAGTGCTGGTAATGTTGTATTTCCAGACCCAGGTGTTGACTTTCTAGTAACTTAAGCTTACATTTAAGTTTTATGCATTTCTCTGAACATATACTTTATAAAAAGGTATTAAAACATTTGCAAAAAAAAATGTGATACCTAGGAATGGTTTTAACAAAAGATGTACAAGAATTTGGTGAAAAAAATGTTTAACTTTAAACATCTGAAGAAAAGTAAATGAACGGGAGCATCATGTTCCTAGATTTCAAAATTTGGTATCAGAGATACTAGTTCTTAAAATGACCTATAAGCTCAATGCAATCCCATTCAAAATCCAACAGGATTTTTCAAGCTTGATAAGGTTTTCCTAAAATTTACATGGCTAGAAGTAGTCAACACCATCCTAGGAAGTTAAGATGGAGGGAGGGGGGAATCTGTTCTACTAGACCTAAAAGCTGATTATTAAGCTACAGTAATTAAATTGTCATTGGGAATTTGATAAATGACAGAAGTAACTTTGGCAGTGGGGGAAAGGATGACTTTTTAAATAATTCTTGGACAACTGGTTAAGCAAATGAAAGGGAAGAAAACAGCCCCTTGCCTCCTATCATACACCAAAATAACATACATGTGAAAGGCAAAACTATAACACATTTAGAAGGAAATCTAGAATATCCTTTTTACTTTGAATCAAGGAAGAATTTCTTAAACTAGACAGAAAACAACATTAAATATAAAAGATTGGTCAATCTACATTAAAACAGACTTCTACTCATCAAAAGAGGTCATAAATTGAAAGAACAAAGAGATGTTACTAAAAAGACATGAAACTAACCAAAGATTAGTATGATAGGCAGCCTCCAACAATGGTCACTGACCATCCCTGCAGCCTGGTGTTCACACCTTTCTGTTGTCCCCTCCTACACTGTAGCAGGTTTGCTCTGCATTACCAAGTACATGGGGCAGAAGTAATGCTGTATCATGTCTGAGATTAGGTTACAAAAACTACAGCTTCTTTTTCTCTTGGATCCCTGAGGCAAGCAAGATGCCATGTTCTGAGCATCCCTATGAAGAAATCCACACGGCAAGGTCCTGAGGCTGGCCAACAATCATGTGACTGACACCTTGACTGCAGTCTCCTGAGAAACTGGGCCAGTTTTATTATGCTACACAGCAAAATAACTAATTAGCATCCTTAATAAAGAATTCCCATGAATAGATATGGAAAGATAACCAGAAAAAAATGGGCAAAAGATATAAACAGGCTTTTCACAGAAAATGCAAAGTATGTTTAACTTCATCAATAAACAGGGAAAGGCAAATTAAAGATACATACCATTTTCATCTGTCGAAATGACAAAAATTGGCCAGGATATGGAGCCTAAGTAACCTTGATATACAAGTTGTAGGTATGTAGAACTGTTATAATCACTGTGAAGGAAAAATGTGGCATTTTTTTTAAAAACTGAAGATAAATATAACCCACAAACTAGCAATACAGAACTCCTGTATCCGTAAACATGCATAAGAATCTGCATAGCAGCATTGTTTATGCAAGCAAAATTCAGTACATAGCCCAATTGTCCATCAAGAGGATGGGTAAATTGTGTATTTATATAATAGAATACTATACACACTAAAATGAACTATACACACTAAAATGAACTATGCATAAACATGATTAAATCTTAGAGCTGAGTGAAAAACCAAGTCTCAGAAGATACCATGCAATATTCAAAATATTTAAATGTTAATATAGAATTCATATATGAATCAACAATAGATGTCAATGTGTAAATCAAGAAAATAAACCCTTTATTTTTTTTTAATGTTTACTTATTTTTGAGAAAGAGACAGAGCGCAAGCAGGGGAGGGTCAGTGAAAGAGGGAGACAGAAGATCTGAAGCAGGCTCCAGGCCCCGAAATGTCAGCAGAGCCTGACATGGGGCTCAAACTCCCCAACCGTAAGATCGTGACCTGAGCCGAAGTCGGATGTGTAACCAATTGAGCCACCCAGGGGACCCAACCCTTGTATTCTTTAAATAAACCAACTACACAATAAAACTTTATCAAGTGATGAAAGTAGCACAAATCATTCAGCAATCACTAATAATTTCCAAATCACTTGTTTCAACAGTTGGGTTGGTAGAATTTTTTTGACATGGCTACCACCAGCTAAATGATGCTCTCATATGCGGATGCAAACTCTTCCAAGGACTTCCCCCATTCAATTGGTAGTCATTAACGAATATGCTCTTTGGCAACTGAAGAGAAGGGACGCATGTCCCTTCTGATCCTGATCCTGATCCCCATCTTATCAGACAGGACAGTACCACCTGGGTGCTGGCTATATGCCAAGAGCTAGTGGCAGGTGCTCCCAACTAGAGATAAAGGGTGAGAAGACAGGGCTAATTGCGTGGGGACTGATGATCTTGGTTGCCGGAACTGGAAACTTGTGTTTCTGTCTCATTTCATACCCAAAACTGCCCCCAGCCCCTGCATTGGCCAACCAAGAAACAATGGTTGGATGAGCAGCTTGGTTAGGTCAAGAAGGGTGAATTTGTAGAGATGGAGAGGGCAAACAAATATGATACTCCTGTCTGGAGCTCAGCCAAGGGAAGAGGGAAGAAAAGAGCAGTTGTGTTATCACTTGCCTTAGAGCATACTCTTCTGGGTAGGAGAATCCTGGAAGAGTCACTCGCCTCATGCCTCTTCAGTGCACACGACAGGCCACCCTCCACCACAGAACAAGTTGCCAAAATGTTAAAAAAAAAAAAAAATCTAAAGGGCCATTACTGCACCACAAGGGGCTATGTCCCTAAACACCTGTGCCTGCCCACACTCCCTTCCAATCTTCCCAGCTGCTACCAGAGCTTAGACATATGTCGCCCTTCAGCAGGATGAGGCATTTCTCTGGGAGGATGAACAGACGAGATCCTCTTTAGCTTGGTTGCCCAGGTTCCTCCTCCCACTCAAGGGCTTACAAAACCAGATAAGATTCCCCAACACTTGAAATAATAGTATATCTTCTGTAAGTCCTTCAGCTTTGTCCCCAGTGCTCAAACCAGAAATGCATCACAAAGAATCGTGTGGTTTTTGAGATAAACCGCCATGTACTGGAACTTATATTCGTTATACTTTATGCAAAAACACGGAAAGCTAATCAAGTTTTGGAAAAAATACCCTTGTGGTAAAACTAAGAAAAACGAAGAAATTCAGGATAGTGGTTATCCTTGGAGGAAGAGGATAATTTTCTATTTAAGTCGGGTGGCAGATTTACATTTATTATGTATGGTTCATACATATCTTCCACAAGAAGTTTTCCTCAGGGTTGATATTCTGGGTTTACTAAGTCAGCTTTATTGCGAGCTCCCGTTTTCTACAATAATGCTATCACCACCTTACAAGAATGAGTAAGAAACTCTGTCAAATGCTGAGACTGTGCTGGAATCAAGACATTCATGTCCGTTGAGTTTCCCAGTTGCATCTAAAGAAAGGAATGAGGTTAATTTGATATGGCCTGTTCTTAGCTTAGGATCTAGGTCAGTTGTCCATCACATTTTCTCTTAAATGCTGACAAAATTGTCAAGTACTTTTAAGAGTCGTCAAACTTTTCAGAACTTACTCCTCACCTGTATTTTTCCATCTCTAATCTTTTGGCACCTCTTCTATTTTCTGTAGTTTCTTACTCACAGTAACTATAGTCAGGAATGCATTTGACCCCAGGTATATGATGAGCTCATTGAAATAGGTTTGGTGTTTCTTTAGATTTTTTCATCTAAACTAATAGCTTCTCACAAAGAAAATCTATCCTTTTCAACAAGTCTGGAGATCATTTTCCTCTTGAGATTGTTACAGGGATGTTATCTTTCCCTAGCAAGTTGGATTTGACTTCCCTGATCTCAGTTCAGATAGCAAAAGCCCTTTTCATTGTTTTGAGTTTTTGTTACTGACACTGTTTTCCTGCCACTTCCAAGCTTGGCATAGATCTCTATTAATCACAACAACAGAGACCCCTCCTTGTTCAGGATTAACCCTGAGTTTTATTCTCTTTTGGGGTTTCTAGAAGTTAACAGTCATAGCTTCATATTTGCCCCTTTAAAAAGCTGAATCTTCTGCAATTAAGATTACCTAAAACAACAGATGTGACACTAACTGTAGCAAACAATACCTTCCCAAGTTTTGAAATGCCAGGAAGACCAGGTGCTCTCTGACCAGGAATTCAAGCAGAAGCACAGTAAATGCTGTCCAGCCTGTGGGCAGACTGAGGTATGTGGCGTAGGGTCACTTCTTATGGACGCAGAGGAGAAGACGGTTTAAAAGGAAAGTTTGTGCAACACAGCTACAGTAGAATAAAGATAAAAAGTTCAAATTACCACACTCAATTTAAATTTACTCTAAAGAAACAGCCCCCCCCCCCTTTAGGAAAGCTTGAAAGAAACTAAAACTAAAATAAAATTTCCAAAACTGCTTTGCAAAAAAAGTCACTCAACACAGATGCTTCCACTTATAGAACTCGTCATCTACTTTGTATCATCAGGCATTTAGCACACCAAAGAACAAAATAATGACATATCTTTAGTTCACGTAGGAATAAGAGATAGATAACACACTATACACCTTAACTGACCATGAAAAGATTGTTTTATTCCATGAAAATATTCTCAACAGAGAACACTATCTTAAACAAAGCATTTACCATTAAGAAATCAACATGTGCACAAAAAGAGTAAAAATTACTGAAAAATTAAAGATTTCTTTTGGACAATTCACATGTTCAAAATTTAAGAATGATTTAAGAATGATTTAAACTGTGCAAGTACAAATGTCTGTCCTATTGTAATAACCCACGTACAGGTTGCACTATGCCACGTGAAGGACCTTGCCTCCTACGGAAGCAAATCCTGCTTTGAGAAAAACAAACAGTAGCCTGAAAAGAACAGTTAGTCCTTACAAGAAAGCCTTAAACTTTGCCCTCTGTGGCCGTCAGCCAAAAAAACACAAGCACTTCAGGCTTTGTACAGAGGACAAACACAGCCAGATCACATTTCCTCCTCATTGCTAACCTTTAAAATAAAAATAGCACTAGATTTTAAAACTACTTTATGTAGTCTGTCAGTATTGAATAATGTCACATTATATAAATAACCCTGTAAAGAGATTCAAAATCTAAACTTCATAGTTTACTAGCCTCAAAGGTAATACGCTATATGTCAGCTGTGTAACAGGGGTGCACTTGATCTTATGAAGGCATTAACTTTCACACAATTGTCATTCAGCTTTAGTATAACTGCTAGTAGGATTCAAATAACATTGGGAAAGAATTATTAAAGCAGTCACACAGCTTCTAAAATATTGCTTAAAATCCAGTAATACACAGACCCATTTCACGTTCTTTCTTCCCTCAAAACAGTAAAGAACAAAATTAATGAAGCTTCTGTGGTACAAATATCCCCCCACCCATGCCCATCTCCCTATTAAACACTACTAAGAAATTAGTTAAGATACAAGTCATTAACAGAATCACAAATGCGAGGCAGGACAACATGAGCAACAGGCGCACTAACAACAATTATATTTACAAGTATAAACAAACAGGAATTTCCATTGTACAAGTAAAAGTGCACATAGATCATTACAAAGTTTCACTAAATTTTATCTGGTTGAAACAAAAGCATCACTTGGAAACAGACTACCATTTTAATAAGAACATGGTCACCCCAAATTAAAACACAACGGGGAGGCGGGGGGGGGAGGGAGTCCATAAAACTTCTCCTAAAAACACTGAGTAAAGTAAAATGGACTTGGACATGTCTTTAGTCTGATGCATAAATTTGAAGATGCACCATCACACATGGTAGAGCTCTAAAAGCCACCTACCAAGGCTACATCGGCACCCGCGGCAGCGCTGCCGAGTTAAAGGAGGTCGCACCGAGCTGACACATAAAGCCCTTTGTGGGATACTGTAGTGGTAGTGTTGGCAATCGACAGGTTTAGGCACTCTAGTTTAAGGCAGCATTTGAATGGAAGCAGCTGACTTCTGACAACAGTCCTGTGTCTTGAGGTGGTGAGGATCTTGTGTGTTTATTATGCCAGGATTTCAGTGCTGACTATAGATTCTTCCCAGACTGAGGTGAAGATGGATCACGTTTCAGAGTTCTTTCAACCGGGCTGTAGGCTAGAGCAGAGATGTTTTCTTTTTCTTATCACAGACACTTCAGGTCCACAAACTACTTCTTCATCATGCCCAAACTGGAATGTTTGTAGTGGGGAAGTTATAGCAGCGTACACGAATACTAGGATGGAAACATTAGTGCTGGAGATGTCTGACAAAGTGACTTGCACTACAAATGTAAAACAAAACAAAGGCTTTGACGAGAACAAGGGATTATAAAGACATGCCTGAAAAATCTAGCCCAATCACTCTAGACATGCAACAGGATGTTAAGCAAGCACAGAGGTGGCGCAGGCAGACACTGACGAATGGCAAGGGTTCTAACAGACGACGGGTCTAAAAGCCAATTAGAACAGAGCTGGGATAGACAGTCCTGTTGGGACAGCCAAAGAGAAGACAAATTTAATGAGAGCTCTGCATTCTTTCTGATTTAGACATCAGTAAAAGAAATGGAAAAAAAGGTTAGCCATTTTCGGCTTGTTCCCTTTATGTGAATAATTGTGAATGACCAATTTAAGGATTGGTATTACAGTGATTTTTTAAAACAATGTATGGAAATGATAATGAAGTTAGTTTAAAAAAAAACAAAACAAAAAACGTCTGCATGCACTCATGCAACTTGCTTCTCTCACTCTCTGTTTGAGCCTGACAACTCTAATACCCTCCCCCTAAAAGCAGCTGCATGTAACCTCCTTCAACATCTTGCCCATTTCCTCAGAAACCCTCTTCAGGAACCTGTAGTCCAGGAGGAAAAAGAAAAGAACAATTACTGAAGACCTTTGGTAAGACCAAAAGGGGTGTTCAGTTTAAAGTGTCTGTCCCCAAAGTGTCTGTCCTAAAATTATTTTACAGTCAGCTATGTGAGAACACCAGAAAAATCTGGGACATGAGCAAACTTAAAGGACCAGTCTCTTAAGTGCTTCCTCACTTTACTTCCCCACATGACCAGCACTGCACAATCCTTTATGGTACAGTATTTCCAACAAATGCTTGTTGAAATTAATGGGAAAAAAAAATCTTGAATTGATGATTTAGCCAAAATGAGGAAATGCCCTAAATGGTGATAAAGATAATATAGTCATTCAACCCAGTCAGTCAAAAGTTTTCAAAGTAAAATTTGCCAGGACTTGCCTTCCATTCAAGATTTCCTCTCAGTGTACTTAGAATCTATTTTCCTATGTATAACTGCTAAATGCTAAACAATCACCAAAACGGTATTTCCCCAAAGACATATTCAAGATGAAAAATACAAGCATTAATTTGGAAGGAAGCTTATATATTATTAAAAATTTGTAGTATACTAGATGAAAATATTTTCAGGTCTCAGAAGAAAACCATTTTATTCACTCAAGAGCTGGACCAGGTGGGCTTATTTTGCAGGTCTCTTGATTAGCCTACTACTGAAATAGATTTACGTTTGAGGTGCTTGTTTTCTTCCCTTAGGAAACCAAAGCAAAGAATAGGGAGGAAAATGAAAATGACTGTATTTCTTATTCTTTCAATAAGCCAACTATGACTTTTCTTCCTAAAAACTGTAGCTAGAAAAACTCAAACTCCTATGCTAAACCACTCTTTTGGGAGCCAGCTTTCTATAGCATTTCAGAGCAGTTTTACTTATTTAAATTCACTACAGTCACTGTGTTTTCAGAAGCAAAGTGTGTGTTAGGTGAAGAGGGCTTTCTATCTATGGATTCCTGCCCAAAGATCAAATTCTATAACTTATAAGGCAGAAAAGCACAAATCTTTCACAGAGACTTAAGCAGGACATAAAGCAAAAGGCATCAATTAAGCTTCACACCAATGTCACTCAAATGGTAAAACATCATGAGAACGGTTTCTTGTGGTACTATTCACATCTTTAAGATAGAGCCTACACTCAGCTCACATAGTGAACAATGTATCTTGGATGCTCTTTAAGTTTTCTTATGTTTTCCCACCCATTGAATGTGTTTCCATTTTCCATTATTGTTCCTATGTCATACATGTCACAAAGCTGCCTGGTTAGTTTAGATGTAAGTTACTGCACCTTTACTGTTTTTCTCTAGAGTTACATCTATGTATGATGTGGGAACGTAGCCTTCTTCACCGTTCTGTCTCCGAGCTCTTGTCCAGCCATCACCTTTGTCTTCCTCAATGATGTATAGAACTTCACCTTCTTTCATTGCCAGGGTACCTTCATTATGTCCTAAATGAGAATTTTCACAGCACAAGTGTAATTAAAGTAATAATTTCGAGTAAAAGTTACAAACACAATACAAAACAACATGAAACTCTACTAGATTTCAACATACCTAGAACCAAGAGCCCAGTGACAAGATATTATTAGCAACAGCTCTATGATGCTTTTGTAGTTTATCCAACACTTTCATATATAACATTATCTCACTGGAACTGGACAGTGGCCCTGAGAAACTGGCATTATTAATATCACCGCCATATAACAGATGAAGTATCTGAGCTCAATGACATTATATGATTTGACAGGATATTCTAACTCCTATTTCACTTCTCCAACTCTTTTCCCAAATTTGAGTGGCATTGCTGTCGAGAAAATTCATGACGTGTAAATCAGGAAAATATTAAGACTGTGAGAGGGCGGGAAGAAAGAAGAATATAGTTTTGAAAGAGAGCAGACAAAAACACAGGTTCCCCTCTGGTGATGGTGAAAGCAGAATAGTCACAGCCACAAAGCACAAACTTCCTTCAAAACCTCATGAACCTCAGGGCTCTCTTTCTTCCCCATTGCCAACCACTCCCAACCCGCTTAGCAGTAACAGTTTTCACAAATCAGTCTTCATTTAACATGTTAAATTCTCTAGGTTACATTATAGCAAGCCCTTATTCAGTATTATTTTCTCAGAATGAGGAGTAATTAAAAACTTTACTCAACTTTAAAATTAATACAACGGATGGGTGGGGAAGGACCTTAAGTCATATGCCATTTTATAACAATTTATTTGTGAAAGTGTTACTCTGCTCCTCAGAATTGAGGAAAAGGATTTTTCACAGTCCACAAGCAGAAAAATCTGCAAGAGAGAACCACAATGTCTTCCTTCCCTCACAGGGATTGCTCCCCACCTCTCACAGGGGAAGGATGGCATAGTCAGAAGCTACTACATTCTCTCCTTTTCTCACCGGAAAATATGACCTACAGAGTCAAGCTATAATAAGGACATTTAGCTATGCCATTTGCCTTGTACCTGTCTCTCAATGTTAGCAAGTTACAAGGAAGAGCTTATAGTGGCATCCACTAGACTTCCACTTCCTAGGTTCTGAGCCACCTGCTCAAGCTGCTTCAACTTTAGTGATTACATGTAGCATTAGTAAGATCTCTGGAGGAAATTAAATTCTGTATCAACCAAAGTTGACAGTCAAATAAAAATCTGTACTGGGATGCTGATAACACCGGTAATTTTCTTTCAGTGTCATGTATAAAAGAAAAACCTCTATTTGTAATACAGTTAAACAAAAATATTCATACTAATGAGCTGGAATTATAATTTTCTGACAATGTATTATTTAGCTAAGGACACCTAAGTACATGTTTCAGTGTATGCAGACTTTAAGGAACCAATGTTATCAAATACAAAAGAAAATCATACCATCAAAAGGGTAGATAGCTTTGCAGTGTCCAATAGCAGGCAAGGGATCGTCATCTTCAAATTCATCATCGAACTCATTGTGATGACCATGTTGTTGGGGTGGCCCTCGGACTTCTTGGTTTGCATCATCAGTGTAACTTCCCTCAGGACTATAAAACATAGAAGTTTATCTCATCAAGTATCACAAAGATGGAAACTTTTTATGCTATCTGAAGGTTGATCTCAGCATCAATTCACAGAACTAAATATCAATGACACAGTTCCAAATTAAGCCTTGTCTTAAATGTTGATGATATATATAAATTGCCTGCAATACAAAATGCTTCTTTGTTGAAGTTCCTGAAACTAAAAAATTACAGTGTTCTAGGCATATGGCATGCATTCAACAAATAGGTCTATCACTGGGTCCAGAGATAAAATGGAGAAATGTAGGGAATACTTGCCTTTCATCATCCCGGATTTATCACCTCCTCTTTTGGCAAAAGAACCCTAAAATTCCACAGGAGACCCACCCAGACCTATGGTCAGTTCACAGACTTCCTGGGGAGTTCTGTCCTGGCTCCAGAGGGCCCGTCTCAGCACAGCACTTGTGTGGTCAGAGTGAATAGTTAACGAGTAGGCTTATAACCTGGTCAGATAGAAAAGACCCACAGAGACTTTTCCTTAGGACTGAAGAGAAGCTCCCTCCCTTCCTTTTCCACTGGACTTGGACCTGGAGAAATATGAGCCCAGTGCTTTGGAAGATCACCATATGAAGCCTTCAAATGAAGCCAATATAGTGGAAGGTAGAACTGTGAGGTGGAGAGAAACAGTCCTGTGGATATCATCTGAGCTCTTAGATCAAGCTCTCCCTAAAGCAAGCCAATAAAATCCCTTTTCATATTTATTGTCACTGAAAGCAAAAAGACTCCTAATAAAGTTAACTTCCAATTAATCATGCTAACAGGGAGGTTAGTAAAACTCAGAAAATCCAAAAGAACAGGTAAACCCACAGGCATCTTTTTCCTTAAAATATTTTTAAGTCAAAGAGAGAAAAAATGTTAATTTTGCTAAAGAATCAAATGACTGAACAAGATAATGGAAAATCTGTATGATCAGAAATTAAAAGCACTTTTAGTATGCCTAAAAGCCACGTTCTTAAATAACACAAACAAGAGAGATTAGATTACTTTAATCTAGGTTTTAACTAGTAAGAAAACCAGTATATTTGTGGGTTTCTCTTGATATACAGGTACTCTTTCAAAAAGTGATAAGAGTTTGAGAAGGAAGAACTAACATTTCTCAAGCACATACTGTTCCCAGGTATTTTATTATGAGGTGCTCTATGTACATTACTTCATTTATTACTAATAACACTATATGGTAGGTATTTTATTTTTCTATTTCAAGTTTATGCATTTTTGAGATAGAGAATGGGAAGGGGAGAGAGGAGGAGAGAATCCCAAGCATGCTCTGTGCTGTCAGGGCAGAGCCCGATGCAAGGCTGATCTCACAAAAGGGGAGTTCATGACCTGAGCTAAAATCAAGAGTCAGACGACGCTTAGCCAACTGAACCATCCAGGCACCCCTGTATGATAGAGATTTTAACCTCTGTATTTTAGGAAACTAGGACTCAGAGATCATTAAAAATGACTTGCTCAAATTACACTGTAAGTAGTAACCAAGATTTGATACTAGATCTCTCAAATTTTTTCTAAGGAGAATTCTAATTTGTTGGCTCTTAGTGGGGGCAGAGTGGGGAGAGACATATACACAGAGGGGGAAATTGTCACAAATGGTATGAAAGCATGGAAACTTAGCAAAATGCCTTTTGGAAGCTCTGACTCAAACTAACAATATTGTTTTTTCCTTCACAAAACTTTAAGCAATTTAACAGTTAAGTTTTTCTTCGGCATAAGCCATCCAACTCCATCTAAACCTTAAGGGAATCTTCCCAGGTCTGAGGAGCCTATGCCTTCAGACAGTAGCTCCACAAATTTTCTATGTTCATACCTTTGTTTTTGGATGTATGACAAACTAGAACAAACCAGCAATGGGAAATTTCATATTTTATGTGTAACTACTGTAAAGAAACAGAAAATCATTTAGGTTCATAAGACTAACGCTATTAAAAGCCAAACCCATTACATCAAGGAAGAAGAAAAAGAACTGTATGAAATTTAGAATGAATTTTAGAACAAAATTTAGAACGAAATTTAGAAAAAAGTGAAAGAAGTTTGAGGGGAAAAAAATACAAATAAAATGCAAAAAGTGACCTTTCTCGTCCCTGTGTTACAAGATGATTTATGTCACTGCTATGTCTTCTGTCTCCTCTCCCACCTGTTTTCCCTTCAACTTCAGAGAGCCAAGCCTTAGGAAAAAAATAAATAAAACTGGGCTTAGTAAGTATTCTTAAAAGCTCAAAAGATAGTCTACAATTAAAATGTGCTTTGAGTTTTTATAATTATGTAATTCTTAGAGAATGGAAACCTTTATTCCAGTTTGACCAACGATCAACTTCATAGCTGATAAGCATAAATGTTTAGTTTTACATAAAGTTTTAATTAAAAAGAAAAACTTGAATGAGGGACTAATTCTAAAGATTATAGACCATAATGATTCCTTTCTTTTAGATAGTAACCCTAAAATTAAATATTTGAAGATAAAATTGTAGCAAAAATCAATCTATCATAATGAAGTTTATACAAATGAATTTGTCTTAGACAACTGCAAAGTAACAAACCTACCTCATTCTTGTGAATTTCCATTCGTAGGCGGTCAATGTTATTCATGGTCTCTGCTAATTTAGGCTGCAAACTCCCTGGATCCCCCATTTGTGGATTTTTCTCATACACATCTTTCATTTTGTTGAGTGCTTCTCTGAAAATGAGAAGGAAGTCACAGAATTAAATATTCACTTCATATGTTCCCAGATAAAAGAGTTTCATTTGATTTGGGGGGGCTCTCATGTAGCCTATCTTAACAGAGTAATAACATCTCTTTAAATATAGTCAAACATTACCTGTTTACAGATAATGTGCATAAAGATGATTGTATAGAGTGGGCAATTTATGAAGACCGACTTAAAACATTTGGAATAAAAAAAGAGATTTTTCATTTCTTGCTTCTCATTTATGAGATTTTATATATGTAATATATGTAAGTATATATTACATATATGTATATTGTGTGTGTATACACACACACACACATGTGTGTCTTTGTATTTATATAGGTTTAATCAAGGACTGGAAGAATATTCCTCAATATTCTTAAACTCATCATGTCCCAAATCAAATTCATTATATTCCTCCATAGACATATATTCCTCCTTAGTTCACAGCATCTTTGGCCTCCCACTCATCCATGCTAGAAACAGGAATACATGTTTAACTTGACCCTCTCCCAGCTCATTCATCTCCTCCTCATTTCTCTAATCACACCACTGTAGGTTATGTATGCCTCAGTCAGTACTCTGACTTCCTCTAATATCTGACATTACTGGCTAACAACTCTTTTCCTTCTTAATTTCCTAGAAGTTACATTTTCTTTTCCTTTCTTCTCACCTCTACTGTCTCATAATGTCCTTCAGTGGCTCTTTCTCAACTTCTGCTCATCCTTTAAGTGTGTTACATAAAATGACAGAGGTTTCTTCTCATCTCATCTTATACGTCTTTTTGAAAACGATCCCTTCTACTTTCTAGTTTTACTGAAATATAATTGACTCTACTATTTTAATATCACCTATCTTTAGAAGATTTGAGTAATTTCAGCCTTCTTTCTTTCCTAAGTTTTAGACACTTTGAACAAGTATCCTTTTCGGGGTCCATCTAGTGCCTTTTTTTTTTTTTTAATTCTGTGCTCTTCATTGCTTTTTCTTTTTAAAATAAGCCCCTAAGTGTAGTGCTGAAGTACTGTCTAGTGTTTCTAAGTGCAAGAAGGCTGTGAGATGCCTTATGGAAAAAATGTTATGTGGTTAGATAGACTTTGTTCAGGCATGAGTTACAGTGCTATCAGCCCTGAGTTCAAAGTTAATAAACCAACAGTATATATTATAATGAGTCTTCAAATAGAAACACATATAAAACAAGGTTATAACTGACCAGGTGATGAAAATGTTGTGGCCAGAGGCTAAATGGAGCCTTAAACCTGTATTTTCCATTTCAGTCTTCACGAATTCAGTGCTCACAATAACTTTATAGTACATAACTACCACATGCTGGAAAAACTGGACAGCAACATGCAGAAAAATGAACCTAGACCACTTTGTTACACCATACACAAAAAGAAACTCAAAATGGATGAAAGACCTAAATGTAAGACAGGAAGCCATCAAAATCCTTGAGGAGAAAGCAGACAAAAACCTCTTTGACCTCAGCTGCAGCAACTTCTTACCCTACACATCTCCAGAGGCAAGGGAAACAAAAGCAAAAATGAACTATTGTGACCTCATCAAAATAAAAAGCTTCTACACAGCAAAGGAAACAATCAGCAAAACCAAAAGGCAACCGACAGAATGGGAGAAGATATTTGCAAACGACATATCAGATAAAGGGTTAGTATCCAAAACCTATAAAGAACTTATCAAACTCAACACCCAAAAAACAAACAATCCAATGAAGAAATGGGCAAAAGATATGAATAGATGCTTCTTCAAAGAAGACACTCTGATGGCCAACATATGAAAAAACGCTCAACATCACTCATCATCAGGGAAATACAAAGCAAAACCACAATGAGATACCACCTCACACCTGCCAGAATGGCTAACATGAACAACTCAGGCAACAACAGATGTTGGAGAGGATGCGGAGACAGAGGATCTCTTTTGCATCGTTGGGGGGAATGCAAGCTGGTGCAGCCACTGTGGAAACAGTAAAAACAGAATTGCCGTACGACCCAGCAATTGCACTACTAGGCATTTATCCATGGGATACAGGTGTGCTGTCTCAAAGGGACACATGCACCCCAATGTTTATAGTAGCACTATCAACAATAGCCAAAGTATGGAAAGAGCCCAAATGTCCATTGATGGATGAATGGATAAAGATGTGTGTGTGTGTGTGTACACACACACACACACACACACACACACACACACAATGGAGTATTACTCAGCAATCAAAAAGAATGAAATCTTGCCATTTTCAACTACATTGATGGAACTAGAGGGTGTTATTATGCTAAGCAAAATTAGAGAAAGACAAATATCATATGACTTCACTCGTATGACTTTAAGATACAAAACAGATGAACATAAGGGAAGGGAAGCAAAAATAATACAAAAACAGGGAGGGGGACAAAACGTAAGAGACTCTAAATATGGAGAACAAACAGATGGTTACTGGAGGGGTTGTGAGAGGGAGGATGGGGTAAGTGGGTAAGGGGCATTAAGGAATCTCCTTCTGAAATCACTGTTGCACTATATGCTAACTTGGATGTAAATTAAAAAAATAAATAAAAATTAAAAAAACATAACTACCACAAATAATGAGAATTAACTATATTACAGTGTTTCATTTATGATTAAGCATCCCATTATACCTGATGTACAATTCTTAACATCAAAATTTCAATCATTTCTACACCTGAAACTAATGTGATGCGTGTCAACTATACTTCAATTAAAAAAAAAAAAAAATCTGGAACGAAACTGCCTGAGCTACAAAAAAAACAAAAACAAAACCGTCCAAAAACTTTCAATCACTCATGCTATGGTTTAAGCTCCAATTTTATCTTTACTATAAAAGCAGACAGTAAAGGCACCAATTCACTGTAATAACCCTTTATTCATCATAAATATCTGTTCATTAAAACAAAACTGAACCAAAGGAAACTTTTTATAAAATTGAAAAAAAATTACAGCAATGAGTCAATGAATCTGAAGCTATAAGTAATCAAGTACTGTATGTTAACTTGCTGCAAACAAAATAATTATAGCCTTAGGTTTCTACTGAGCTCAATTTATGTATCAAAGCAAAATGAAATGTATCAAGGTGTAAGAGGCCGTTAATGTTGGTGAAAACTGCTGTTGATAATGAACCATTAAACTGTTTTGCTGGGGCGCCTGGGTGGCGCAGTCGGTTAAGCGTCCGACTTCAGCCAGGTCACGATCTCGCGGTCCGTGAGTTCGAGCCCCGCGTCGGGCTCTGGGCTGATGGCTTAGAGCCTGGAGCCTGTTTCCGATTCTGTGTCTCCCTCTCTCTCTGCCCCTCCCTTGTTCATGCTCTGTCTCTCTCTGTCCCAAAAATAAATAAACGTTGAAAAAAAAAATTTTTTTTTAATAAATAAATAAATAAAATAAACTGTTTTGCAATATTATTGAGGACATGGACTATTATCATCCAATAAGTAAACTGCAACCTAAGAAACTAACATTTCATTTTTATTTATCACACAGCAACCATAAAATTTTGCAAAGTTTAGGAGTGTATTTTTTCCTCAAAAGATATTTTAATTAGGATATATGATTTTTATATCTTCGATACATCACATTTAAACATATCATTCAAAGTATACCCAGAAAGGAATAATAATGGTAAAAAAGACTTAATAGAAGAATACTTTTGGTCTGATTCTTTTTGTAGTTCTCTGTTAAGTTCATCGATACGTTGCTGTAGTTTTTTACGTCTCTGTTCTGGTGGCAGATGACTGAAATCTTCCAGTGCTGGGCCCTGAAAAGAGAATCTAAATTATAAAAGACATCTTGAGGAAATTTTCTTTTTTAAATATACCCGCTATAAAATAAAAATACACATCAGTTTTAAGTTTAATTTAAAATTAGCCCCAAACTTTTAAGAAGAAATCTACACAGATATGTGTATGTAAATTAAAACAACTATATTGAACAAAGCTTGAATTCCAGTTTATGAAATCATGAAATAGAACAGGTAAAAATATAACCAGATAAAGAAAATTGGTAATGACCACTATCACATCATTTTCAGGTCTTGGCAGTTAAAATAAATACATATGAACCTTCTTACAGCAACAACAACAAAATGGAAACACATAACATTTCTCACCTATACAAATTATTGTTCTTTATGTAACATCACCACATTCCCAAATCAAATACTGTGAATGTTCAGACTGCAAATATGAAAAGCTTATACAAATAAGTAGGCAACTTACCTCACAGAGATAATCTAACTGGTGAAATATATTTTAATATTGCATAGTCTCTGAATGATTACACTTATTAAACCACTCTTTAGAACCAAAACATACAAAAGGTAAAACTATCCATTGTGTGAACTGAAAGTAGAAATTATTCTAATAAGGAGTTTATTTTCAATTATCCTTTTGTACAACCAATAACATACCTCAGTTTTTCCCAAAAGAAAGATAAAATCCAAAGATTAAAGATGTGATCCTTCTTTAGGAAAGATGCTTGATGTTTGAAAAAATTTTAATGTTTTAATATGCAAGAAACTATCATTTAGGAAAAAGTACTAGTATTTAGTTGTAAACTTCTGATTCAAATTATGTCTTTCCCATCTTAAATGTTAATCATGTCACTCATATTAGAGGTTACACAACAGAGCCAATATTAGCAACTATTGATTCTATTTACCATAAACCCATATTTACATAAGTTTTGATACACTCCAAAAATTGATGATACCTATCACTCTTCATTTTTCTTTTTAAAATGGCGATATGAGGGGTGCCTGAGTGGCTCAGTCGGTTAAGCATCCGACTTCGGCTCAGGTCATGATCTCACGGTTTGTGACTTTGAGCCCCGCGTCGGGCTCTGTGCTGACAGCTCAGAGCCTGGAGCCTGCTTCAGATTCTGTGTCTCCCTCTCCCTCTGCCCCTCCCCTGCTCACGCTCTCTCTCTTTCAATAATAAACGTTAAAAAAAAAAAAATTAAAAGAAAATTAAATGGTGATTTGAAGAATATGCCAGTTCAATTTTTAAAGTATTGTTGAAATGAAACTCATCCTTGTTCACTGGGCCATTTATGCCCATAACATACTTAGTAGCTTTATTTCACCATCTATAAGAATGTTTCCCTGACTTTTAAAAAAAGAGAAAACTCACTCTTAGGATGGAACCATGATCAAAGGTTAACATTTCATTAATAACAGAATCTCCAGAATTTTCCCCAACTGGCCTATACATTATGGATATTCAACAAGCTCACCTTAAAAAATAGGGCATCTTGTCTAAGTGGCTTTGGTTTTTTAATCTACCAAGTAGCAGAAATAGTAAAATGTCAATCAACCAAATCTGACCTAAATAAATGAATGGCAGAATTTCCTAAGGTGCCTTTAAATTTAGGGGTCAATTATTAATGTAAGTTGTCGGTTTTAATCTAACTTCAGATGTAGGTTTTGAAAAGTATTATATATGTGCCAAAGATAAAACTTTTAATCTATATATTTTTAAATATTTCTTAAAATTTTGAAAAACTATCTAGTGAAGTAAAGAAATATATTTCAATGTGGGTATTTTTTGGTATTATTACAATAAACTCACAATTACCTGTAAGTAAACCTGCCTGCTTCCCACTTACCCCTAATCAAACCTTGTTCTCAAATTTAGTAACAGTAGGTATGAAAGCATTTCTAATATCCCATTTTGACATAACCGATTCTTTTATAGAATTTGAGAGCTAAACACTCTATTTCCAATGGATATAAAGACCTGTAAGGTATTTATTGACAACTTCTACTACAAGGGAATACATTTTAAAAAGGCTAAACTGAAAGTCTGAAAGAAACTGGTCTGAAAGAGAGTGGTCTACTTTCTAAAAATAAGAAATTATGCAACCCCCAATGATTTGGGGGTTAGGTCTTCACAATGTAGTTCCATTAATGTGATTGAAATGTATAAAGGACCATCTCACACACACACACACACACACACACACACACACACACACACACACTCACTCACAACTGCGCAAGCACATACTATAATTTAGGTTATGTGTGCTTTTATTCCCATTCAGTACTACAGAAGAAAGTACTGACTCTCTAATGAAATTAGTAGGAAATTTTCTTTCTTACTATTTTGAAAATCTAATGATTCTTGTGATAAACTACAAATAACACGTATACAATCTTTTTAAAAGACATTAAAAATCATTTTTAATTTTCCTTGTGTAAAAATATGAACTTTTGTTCTACCATGTAACTTAATAATTAACTATAATTTTATGCTCTGTAACATGACAAGGACTCCACTCAGTAACATTTAGGAACTTAATAGGTTGATTAAAGTTAACCACATTATTTTAGAATTTTATGACATCAAGAAATACTGGCATATGTTGGACTATGGATCAAATTATAACAAGAAAAGACACATACAAGGTGAAAATGTAAGGTTGTACCTTACTACTTAGTCTGAATAAAAAAAAAAAAAAAAAAAAAAACAACGTTTTGAGTGGCACCTGGGTGTAAAGTGTCTGACTCTTGATTTCAGCTCAGGTCATGATCTTGTGGTTTGGGAGTTTGAGCCCCACACAAGGCTCTGTGCTGACAGCATGGAGCCTGCTTGGAATCCTCTGTCTCCCTATCTGCCCCTCCCCAGCTCATGCTCACTCGCTCTCTCTCTCTCTCTCTCTCTCTCTCAGAATAAACTTAAAAAAAAAAAAAAGTTTTGAGATTATTTAATGTTGGCACAGTATATAGATCAGCACATAAGGCTTACCATCTTCACCGACCACTGAATAGTTCAATGGAAAACAGAAAGAAATGGTAAATTATTCACATGAAATCAATACAGAAGATGCAATAACTTATACTTTTTTTTTACAATATTAAAATAAATCATGAACATTTCACAATCCAAACAATTATGCCAGAAAAACAATTTTAAGCACATTTTGGGGAAAGTAAATTACTTGCAAAAAAAAAAAAAATACACTGATGATAATGGGCAGATATTTTCTAAATGCAACAAACAAAAACTTAAAAGTAAATAGAAATTCTCCGTAAGTGGATTTTACTTATAGTTCTTCATTCTCAAAATACTAATATTTGAAGAGCTAAATATAAAGATCCAATATTAGCCATTTGAAAAACTCTTCTATGAAGTATTAAAAAATGAAAAACTCTTCCCAATGCATTAAACAAACTGGCATCACAGGAACTGCTATAGTTCAAAACACTTTTTTGAATTTAAATATGTCAAGGGTAACATTTCTACCTTAGTTATAAGGTTTTTTAAAAAAATGTACAGACACATTAGAAACACATTATCAAAACAATGAGTCACCCAGATTCAAGTTTCCCATACATATTTCTTAACAGACACAAATACATGCGTTGAATGTTGCTTTGAAAACGGAGTGTCTACTTTTCAGTTTTTCTGAAATCCATATGCAACACTAAAAATATAACGTCAATTTTTAGAAAGAAAACTAGATAAAATTTTTCTTTCTGAAAATATAAAAGGATATAGCCAGAGTGCTCTCATACAGTACATATACTACTCGTGTGGTATGTACCACACATATATACACTAATGGTGTGTGTATGTCTGTGTGTGTCCGTCCCACATGAGGTGGGTTAGCACGGCTCTGCAACTGGCAATGTATCTACCAAACATACCAAGTAAACACACGTGTGCACAGATGTGTCCATGCACACACGCACACACACACACACACTCCTTGTGACCCGTAATATGCAATTTGGCTTTACAAAGCTCATCTTCAATTAATCTTCATTCATTCATGGCTTGCAACCTCTAAAATTTTTATTTTTCTTTGTTTTCTAAATCATGATGTTTAAAGAAGGGGGATGTCAGGTAGAAGAATTTCACATAAAAAATATGAACTTTAATAAATAACTGACAAAAATATCTACCCCTTATCTCCAATGAATTGGCTATATATATATTAATGGTTATGATGATAAGAAAGATGACATTTGCTATCCATTAGCTTTCCAATTAAGCTTAACATTCTTTAGACTGTCAGTAGTTTCAGGGAACAAAAAGCACAACTTATTTTAGGATCACAAAATTCCTGGTAAAAAGGTTAACAAGTTTAAGTTTTAAAAAGATATTCATGGTCTTCTTTAATGTTATTAAGACAAAATTATGTAGAGCACAAGAGAGTATTTGAATTTATCTTTTATAATTTTCCCCAGCTAAATTTCTAAGTGAAATAAAAATTATTTTTCCAGTTTATGTATTAATATGCTTCAGAGAAAACATTAAGATAATTATAACTGAAATATCAAATGGTTCAGGTTTTAGTCTAGTTTTATATCAATTATAAAATTAATTTATGGTACACTAACCTTAGATTTAGGGATACAAAAAACTCAAGTTCTTTGTAAAATTAGAAAAATATTCAAGTTTTCTTTTAAGTAAGTCATGTTCAATACATAAATATCTTCCTCTCATATACAATTATCATGTACCTATAACTAGAAAATTTCACATACCCCCATACCTTAATAAATACACAAGGGAACTAAAAAGGAAATTAGGCAATTAAAATGATTAGATTTTAAATATAAATATAAATTATTAAAATTATTAGATTTCTTTTAAAGATAGGAAAATACTGATAACTGTATTCTGAATAAATAAAAAGCTTACAAATATGACTATGAAGTCTTTCAGACCATGAATAATTTAGACAGATAATATGGACTTGTTATTGCTAGATAAATCTACTTCCAAAAAAAAGGATTACCCAACAATCTCAAATGAAACAGTTATATAGTAAAAAATATTTGTTTGTATATTAAATAGTTAATTTGAGGTGTGCACCAATTATCCATTAATGGTTAGCTCCTGATTTCACATAAGGAAAATTATACACCATCATCCCTCAGAAAAGGTCTAATGGTATCAACCATCAAATTCAAAAACACTGGTCCAATATAACATTTCTCAGATCCTTAAAAATATTAGGAACTTTATATAGAAAAAAAAAAAAGAAAAATTATAATTTTTTAGAAAGCCAAAAGCAGATATTCAGGAAAAACAATAGGTCGCCTGGGTGGCTCAGTTGGTTAAAGCATCCGACTCTCGATTCCAGTTCAGGTTATGATCTCGCAGTTTGTGAGTTTGAGCCCCATGTCAGGCTCACCCCGGACAGTGCAGAACCTGCTTGGGATTCTTTCTTTCTCTTTTTCTCTCTCTCTCTCTTTCTGCCCTTCCCCCGCTAATGCTCTCTCAAAAATAAATATTTTAAAAATATAATATTAATAAAAAACAACGTAGCAAACATAGTTCAAAACAAGAGTTTCTGATTTGAATGGTACAACTCATCAGCTTTAAAAATCCTTAAGACTTGGGGCACCTGGGTGGCTTAGCTGGTTGAGCGTCTGACTTTGACTTGGGTCATGATCTCACGGTTTATGAGTTTGAGCCCCAAATCAGGCTTGCTGCTGTCAGACTACCAGCACACAGCCCGCTTCTAATTCTCTTTTCTCCCCTCCCTAGCCCTCCCCAACTTGCACCCTCTCAAAAATAAACATTAAAAATAAGAGAATTCTATCTCTCTCAGTTTTGCTTTATTCTACACCAATTTGTATGCACAGGTCCTTTTACAAAAAAAAAAACCAAAAAACAAAAATTTCCCCCCAAAATACCTTAAGACTTATTTTGTAAGTGAATGGACTGACATGTAAATCCATGTTTAAAAAAACAAAAAAACAAAAACGTGGCTTCTTAAAGCTTCTCTTCTTTTTTGGGGAGCCTAGGTGGCTCAGTAGGTTAAGCATCTGACTTCTGCTCAGGTCATGATCTCATGGTTCCTGAGTTTGAGCCCCGCATTGGGCTCTCTACTGTCAGTGCAGAGCCTGCCTGGGATTCTCTTTCTACGTCTCTCTGCCCCTCCCCTGCTCACTCTCTCTCAAAAATAAAAACATTTAGGGGCACCTGGGTGGCTCAGTCGGTTAAGCGTCTGACTTTGGCTCAGGTCATGATCTCACGGTTTGTTGAGTTCCAGCCCCATGTGAGGCTCTGTACTGACAGCTCAAAGTCTGGAGTCTGCTTCGGATTCTGTCTCCCTCCCTCTCTGCCCCTGCCCCACTCACAGTCTGTCTCTCTCTTTCTCTCTCTCTCAAAAATAAAACAAAAACAGTAAAAAAAAAATTTTTTTTAATGAAAATAAAAATAAAAAAATAAATTATTTTTTAAGAAGTTCTTCTTTTTGGATTTTCCTATATTGAGAAAATTCTTAACTGGAAGAAAAATATCTCCATAGGTTAATTTTGAAATAGAATCTTATAAACTACTAAATACCAATCAAAATGAAAAACGTCGGGGCCCCTGGATGGCTCAGTCAGTTAAGCGTCCGACTTTGCTCAGGTCATGATCTTGTGGTTCATGAATTCAAGCCCCATGTCAGGCTCTGTGCTGACAGCTCAGAGCCTGGAGCCTGCTTCAGATTCTGTCTCCCTCTCCCTTTGCCCCTCCCCTGCTCATGCTGTCTTTCTCTGTCTCAAAAATAAACACTAAAAAAAAAAAAAAAAAATGTCAATGCCAAGATTGTAATAAACTTTCCTTTCTGCTCTATCCTCCAATATCCTAGTCAATTTATCTGTCATATTTTCTACCTTACATATTGCTTTTTCTCCTTTGGTACGGTAAGTAATAACAAAAGTAGGAGGATTTTGACCTTCTGGAACTGGCTCCCCCAAAACAATGTTCTAATATCTAAAACTAAAGCAGTAAGTGGAAATAAGACAAATAATAACTAAGCAGATACTTTTAAGTTCTACAATTTTATAAAATGTAGATTTTATAATTCCACCTATAACTTATTCAATAAAAATGAAGAGGTCACATATTTAAACTTCTCTCTCCAAGGCTCACAGTTCTAACTGCCTAAATTTCACACAACTATTTGATATCTCTATAACTATACTGTATAGATTAATGTTAACTGGATCTGGTAGACTTAATGTGTAAGATACAGAAACAATTACAAAAATATAGCTGCTAAACAGTCATTTTTCATAACAGCAGAATATTTAATAAAATCTAAATCATCATAGAGAAGAAAGATTGGAATTCTGCCCTCCTAAGTCAGGCAAAAGAAAATCCCTAATGATTTCTTAAGTGTTTCCAACAAGTGTTAAGGGCTTTTAAAAATGAATACAGGTTACCTGTACTGTATAACACAGACTCATTCCTACTGGCTTTTCAGAATATCATTAATTGCCTATATCATCATTCAACACAGAAGTAGGTAAGATAGATGTAAAAATGTTCATGACAGTATAGGAAAAAAGGAAGTCCAAAAAGGGACATCATATACTAGAACATGTCTACTGCATTACTGACATCACTTCAGGTTGTCATAGTGTTTTAATGAAAATGCAAATAATGTCATCTTGCCCTAAATGAATATATCTTGTTCTACATGTGCCCAAAAGAGAAACTCAACTGAAGCAATTTGTAGAAAAGGCTACAGAAGGTAATTAAAACAGACTAGACAGAGAAGAAAAGAATCGAAAAAGAACGCAAGCAGGAAGGCAGAGAGGAAGGGAGGAAGAGGGAAGGTGGGGGAAGAATGGCAAGAACAAGAGTAAGCCCAACTATAGTGTATCACTGTTAATGATTAGATTTTTTAATGGCACTGATAGATTGAGTTCTCATCTGTGGGCTATCACACCTATGTTTTTCATATGTCCAAAGAAATGTTCAAATTTCATAAATATATCTAAACTATGAGCTATGAATATTACAAGCACATCCTTAAAATCAAATATAAACAAGAGAAATTAGTTTCACTAACATAATGGAATAACACTACTATTTATCAGTAGTATAATAGGTGTTGCTAAAAAATAGCTTGATATTTGATTTTTACAATTCTAAAATTTTTCATTTATGGAATAACTTTAGTTTTAAGTAAATACCAAAGACTGGGCAATTAAAAAAAATATTTTGGTAAAAAAATACTTTTTTTTTAAGCTCAAGAACACAAATCCCATGTAAACATTACTCAGTAATATCTAGTATTTTATAGGCAAATAATTTACAAAATATCTTCTAATGTATTATCTTAATAGGATCTAGAATCTTGGTATTTAACATGCCTATCTTTAATTTCTTATTTAACTACTGGAAACTGTGTTTTATACTTCTAAAAGTAGGGAAATTAAAAATTGAATTTGATTTTTTTATAGACAACAAAATACTTTATAAATTGGCAGAAGTCATCATTAGTGACAAAGTATTGCATGAGTTAACTGCAGTGACAAATTACTGAAAGTCTTAAAAATGTAAATACATTACAAGACAATGGTGGACATATGATTTCACATAAACAAAAAAATAGCTAATATGATTGTACCCAGCACCCTCTTTATAATACCATTCTTTTGTGGTTGCGCATTTCAAATGTTATATAGAGGAGTTATTTTTAACTTGAGGGCAGCTATACTTAATTCTGTGGTCTTTTTAAACTACATATTTACAGGAGAGAGCCTTATAATGAGGGTGGAGAGTATTAAAAGCCACACTACACACACAATAGGCCATCATGCATTTTAACCCATTATTAAACTTACCCCTCTTTTGAGACTTCTGAAAGAAGGAATTCTGGGCTTCCCTGTTTTTATTTCATTCATACAATAATGCACGGGCTCAATGGAGAATGTGAGAAACTGGGACCCATTAGGAGTACTGGATGTGAATAAACTAGTAGGGGTTAAGGGTGGGGACTGTGGCTAATATGGAAATAAAGAAAGGAATCAATAAGCCAAATGTGCATAGTTTTCTCCTAAATGAAAATTCTATTTTTGGCAACATACTTTTCACAAAATAAATCTCAAAGTTTTCTATAAAAATGTTATAAGAATATTAACATAGTTTTGCCAAAACGGTCAGTTTAAGAAGTCAAATTTACTTTAAGAAATGTACCATTTCATTTGATCATTTTACAAAATGACATTAAAAATATAGAGTACACAAATTATAATGTCAGAGAAAGCAATATGACCTACATAAAAAAAATTCTCTTCTAATTTCTAGAACATTAGCACTACCTAACTGGTTATACTTAACCTGCACTTGTCAGAGATAAAGGCAACAGCTACAGGTAAAGTTATCTAAATAGATAATATATATTAAAACTGCAACTAATTATTATCACAAATAGGCAAAAAGTTTTCATTACATTTGTGGTTTTTCTCTCAGACTGTTTCTATTTCATCTTCATTGCACCTCATTTAAAAAAAAAAAAAACTTCAGCAGTCCTGGTTTTTCTAAGCTTTCCTGTCTACTCTGATTTGACTTAAAAAAAAAAAAAAAGTCTCACCTCTCAATTTCTCACCTGGAAAATATTAAAAGCATGAATAATGCTTGAGTTAATTATAAGTGTACTTCTGAAGAGATTAATAGGTATATTATGAGTTAAATTTATCTGCATTCTTATGTCTAGATCAGAAAAAAGAATTAAAGTCACCTATACTTTAATTAATAGAGCATATCAGATTAAAAGTACATATCTATTCCCATACTAGATAGACACTATTATAAGCACTAAATTGGTAGGATTAAGCACTCATCTATTCCATTTGCTCATGCTGCTGAACTAGATTTATCTAACATATACAGCACATCAAAAAATGGGTTCCAACAAGAAGTTAAGAGAGATTCTCTTAGTAAACTGGAGATTTTTAAACTTCAAATAACCACAAACATTGGGCCCCTCCCATTAAACATTCACATGGATGATAAAAATAACTTCATTAGTACGATCTATAAGACCTAATGTGACATTTATTATTGCTATAGTCAATCATTCATTCTAATAGAGAACTGTAATTTTGGTGGTCTTATAGTTAGATCACAACGTTTCCTTAGAAATTCTGATTGAAACTGCATACAAGTGAAATTTCAAAAGCATATAATTCAAGAGGTATTAACAACTATTTAACATTTTTACTCATTAAGTGGTGGTCAAATGTTAACTCCAGAAATAATTTTTACTATTAAGATACAAAACTATGTTTCTAATAAGTGAAAAGTTAACTGAATCATTCAGATAAAAATACTTATCTCTATTAATAGTAAGCCATTATCCACTCAACACCTACATTGATTTAAACGACACACTAAAATAAAACTATTAGCATAGAGGAATTTCATGACTTTTACCTTTGGCTTCTTTCCAAAGAGCCACAACTTGCCCTTGGCCTTTCCTACTGTGGTTTTGGCATCCATCTTCCCACTTTCCTGTTTGGATGCACTGATAGTCCCATCAGAAATGGTTCTATAAATATGTTGACTGTAATCTTCAAATGGAAAATCTCCTGGAGGTTCAAATCCAGACTTAAAGGAGTCCACTACCATTTGAGAGTCCTACACATAAGAAACATGTTTTTAAAATCATTTCATTTATTTTTAATACTGTTAGCTGTTAAAAATTTACTCAAGGAAACAACCAACAAAAATTTAAAGGAAATAATTCTACAGATAATAATTAAAGGTTAAAGTGAATAATTTCTTCTGGTGGATTAGTAATAAGCCTTAAATATTTTAATCCCAATAAAATACGAATTTATAATCAAATTAACATTTTATTAGTTCGTAATATTCATGAAGTGTTTTCATTCCACAATTTCAACCCACTGAAATTCATCTGAGGACAAGTTAGTTGATAAGAAAGATCTAACTGACAAAAGGAATATAGGAAGAGGTTAGTCTCAAGTAGAAATTCTAAGAAGTTTCAGAGGAAAAAGGCTTTTTGCTTTATAGGATATCTACAAAAAGTTGATCTTTGAAACAGGGGAAAAGGCATCTATGTAAAAGAGTAAGAGGTAGAAAGGCTTTCATGCATCCAACAGGGGAAAAGATAAAATATACTGAAGACAGTTGGGAATGTTAACTGAACAATGGAGAAAGATCTGACAAACAACATTAAATACAAAAAGCAACTTTAAAAATATAAAGTTCTATTTCCCCTAAAACTTTAAAACTCACATAACTATACTATATATTGTCTTTGGAATTACATACCACTATCCAAATGTTCTTCTGACACCTTAAACTCATTATTTTCAAACAGAATACTTTATCTCTTATAAACTCCTGTTTAAAACCCTTCTCTTTTATTCCCTGTTTCTGTTCATTGTACATTTTGCCTGTCATTTAGTCAAAAGTTATCTGTTAAGTCACACCTTAGTTTTGTCATTAACGCCACCCTACCAATCACTTGCTAAAGGATGAGAAGAATGAGAGACAAGGGACCTAACTACATTTGTAACCTTGTAACCAGCCATATTGAAATATAAATGTACTTCTGAATTTCTGATTAAAGAACCCTAAAATCCTTTTATTTTTAAAATTCAAGTCAAAATTCTATTTGTTACAGAAAAAAAATCCTCATTAATATAATACCAACTTGCTACGAAGACTAAAATATGTGGTATATATTTAGCACTCCCCCAACACTGGTTCTCTTCTCTTGCTCCTCCTTCATAACATAAATTTCTGCCAACTACCCTTTCTGGTCACTCAATCAACATTTACTGAGAAATGACCAGGTACAAGATTCTTGCTAGACCTTAATTAAGACAGGTTAGTGGATATACTTTCTCAAGGGGAGCAGGGCTATGCTGTTCCTTCTACTGCCCTTTCTTTTTTCCCATTACTCCATACACTACCCACAGTTCAAGTGCCAACTCTTCCATTAAAAAGCAATTCTTATAGTAACTTTATATCTATTTCTTTCTCTAAACTTTCACTAGAATAAGAGTACAACACAGTTTGTAACCTACAGTTCACAGGTTGTGTTATACTCTTGGAGTAGAACTGAAAATTTAGTCAGGGGAAAAGGAAGGATTAAAATTTTCTTTCAAAACAACTAGAATTTTGGTGTTCAGAACAGTCTTAAAAGCCCAAAGGAGTCCACTGAGGGCCTGGGTGGCTCAGTCGTTTGGGCATCTGACTTCGGCTCAGGTCATGATCTCTCATTCCATGAGTTTGAGACCCATGTCAGGCTCTGTGCTGACAGCTCAGAGCCTGGGGCCTGCTTCGGATTCTGTGTCTCCCTCTCTCTCTGCCCCTCCCCTGCTCACGCTCTCTTTCATTCTTAAAAATAAATAAACATGGGGAAAAAAAAAAAAAGCCCAAAGCAGTCCAATCTATTGCCAGACTTCTACAGAATATAAAGTATAATCAGCTACCCATCAATTACTTCACCCCTTTCCCAATTCATTTCACCAACTGAAACTGCATATGCAAACCAAATACATTTATTCAAATATAATTATATAGCACTTACTCTTCTTTCATCAACTGATTTTGCGGCGAGAATCATTCCTTCCAAACACTTTGAAATGATAGGAATAACTTTGCGTTCTGAGTCTGCAAATCCTCTGTAACACTCACTGAGTTTAATAGTCCTTCGTTCATCCATTTCTTGTAGTTGCTAATAATCAGAATTTTTTTTAAAAAAGGGAATATTAAATTTTTTTTTCATTCTGACGCAACCCCACCCCCCAAATTAGGATTCTACACTAACAGTCACACTGTTGTTAATACCTTTCCAACCGTCTTACAGTACTTAAAACCTGAGACTTGTTACATAACACAAGGGGAAAAAAAAAAAAAAAATCAAGCCTTTCAGCACATCCTAAACCAGGTGACACTGGTTTTCAAATATTCTAAAGGGATCCCCTAACAGGCTACGAGCTCCCTACCTCATACCACCTCCACCTTTCCATTCTTCAGTCAGAGCAGTTGTCTATGCTTCCAGGAAAAGCTGCACTCGAAAACAGAATTTTGATGGGTTTTTTTTCTTTCTTTTTAAGCAATTAGCCTGTAACATATATAAATCTGAGAGTTCTAAGTCCTTAAATTAGTTCAGATTACTTTGGTAAGATCTCACTGGATTAAGGATCCATAGTTGACTGAATACCAACAGGTACTCAGACCTACCAGTCAGTCTACTGATCAGTAACTATCAAAGGATTGGGGATACAAGATGAAAACAGGAAGCCAAAAGGTGAAAGTGGTACATACAATGGAATCCCCACAATTCAAAAATTTACTGGCACATGCCCCTAAGAATTATGCTATGACAAGTGAAGCCAAATAACTTACAGGCATTTTTGACCCTTAATTTTGCCGACACTACTAACCTTTTTCTCCTAGGACACAGCTACACTGTTCAAGTCCCCACACTCCCACAGCCTTTATACCAGCTTTTCCTCTCTACTTCCCAAAGCTTGTGGATTTACTCTGACACCCACATTTTCACAAAGGAACTGTTCCCAGCATTGCAAAATGGCAAGACTGGGGGCACCTAGGTGGCTCAGTCAGTTAAGTGTCTGACTTCGGCTCACGTCGTGATCTCGTAGTTTATACATTCTAGCCTCACACTGGGCTCTGTGCTGACGGCTCAGAGCCTGGAGCCTGTTTAGGATTCTGTGTGTCTCTCTCTCCCTCTGCAACCCCCCCCCCATCCCCACCCTCCAGCGCCATCCCACTCATTCTCTCTTAAAAATAAACAAACACTGAAAAAAAAAAATGGCAAGACTGCTCCACAGCAAGGTTCAAACAAAAGGATTAAGCACAAAACACAGTTTTGGTCTCCCCACAACATAATGGCTTGGCTGGAGAGCCTAGAAAAGCACCACTGAGTGATGATGACTAGATGCTAGTCATGAGGCTAGATGCTCTGGATTAAATGACTGGAATATGATACCCACTCTAGGCCACCATCTCTAACTATGCTTCCTTTGTACTGCTAATTTGCCTTACAACGAAAAAGAAAATGTATCTGGGCTGACAACTCTTTCCATATAAGCTCTGCTCTCCCAGATACTACTTTCAACACTTTTCAATCCCTTTATTCTAATTTCTCTTCTTTCTAGAATAAGCAGTAACATAACTTAACCCTCATATAAATTCTGGGTCTTTACCTCAGGCTGTTTGGCAACTGTTTATCATCAAGTGATGATGGATGGAATTTGTAAGCAAACTCACGGCCTGAATTACATTTATGATCTGGCAACTAGGAAGACAAGCAGGCAAAAACCAGGCTAGCCAATACATTTCATAAGATTTATTTCTGCCACCTGGGGTAATGCCAGTAACTCTGGTATAGTGTCAAAAAGCTATATCCCAATTCTAGGTAAGCAGCTTACCAAGAACAATTCCAGTGAATCCCCCCTATGTCCTAATACTGAATGATACAGTATTAGAATTTATCTAGAAAATGTCATTGTTTTACTGGACTGTTTATTACAATAATTATTCAGTAGGAAAATTCATGATTTCAAAGTTAGGAAAAATTTACTTTTCAAATCTATAATCATAAAAGAAGTTCTTATCACTAGTCCTGATGACTAGTGAATCTAGAAACATCCTGGTTGATGCCTCAAATTTAAAAGTTTCACATATAAAAAGACTAGCTCTTCCAACTCTAAAACTAGATTAATTTCACATATCTAAACTTTACCTTGTAAATTTGAGGAATCACTACATAGAAATGTTTGTGCTGTTCTCCATTAAAGTTTTGTAATTGTGCCGCATATTCATTTTTATTTTCATCAGCCATATGTGTACGCAGATTCAACTGCTGTTTGGCCTAGAGACAAATTGGTCCACATCATTACCAACACAAATAACAACAACAAAATGATACCTGATTCATTTTTCTAAAAGTTATGCTAAACCTAGACTTTTTCCAACTATTAATATCATTTAAAATTTAAGGAGTTGCTTGCATATCTTATGGACAGAGCACTCTCCTATTGCAGCAATCTGTTTCTTTTTGCAACCGTCCTTCCCTTTGCAATAATCTGTTCAAATAAAGTTTCTCCTTACCAAATCCAGACTTTTTAAAATTAAACAAATGACAACATTATGGCTTGACCTGCAACAGTATGCTCTTAACCAGAAGAGGAAAAACACCATAGAAATACTTTAGACAGTTAACAAGTTATAGTAAAACATTTAAAACATGATCCACTTATATGCAACTCAGAACCACAGTGAAACACTAATGATTAAATATATGATTTTTGGATATGGTAATACTCAACAATGATTTCAGTCTCTATACAAAACCAAAGGTACTTTCAGGAATGATTATTTAGAATATAGTTCTGTTCATCTCAAGCTCTTAGAGAAATGCTTTTTGAATAGGTCACATCAGCATCATCTACATTGGTAAGAACATTAGAATACTAACATAAAATCATTAATTCTAGATTTATTGGAGGGGAATCTAAGTAAATTTCTCAATTACTTAATGTAGTAAGAAAAAAAAGAAAGAATTGAACTCCATTTTTCATAGTGCTCCAAGGAACCAATCATGTTATATGAGAGTGCTCTGGAAGTTGTAAAACACATTAATACACTTTATTGTTCTAATTCCATTTTCTACAAAATGTAGTCTCTAACCTTCTAACAGTAGGTCCACAAGTTAGTTCTTGTGAACTCAGAAACAAACTGACCTGTGGAAATACATAGTAGCCAAGATAATAGAGAAGCCCACAAAAAAAAAAATTTAATCTACAGTGTACTTGAAGATTCTAATACTTAAGTACTATGGAAACTAAACACCATAGCCTGAAGTATTTCTACAGAAAAATACATTTGAAGTTCTGGGACCTTAAGTACACATTCATTTACTTCTTCCCCCTTTCTCCCTGTTCCCACAAACTATGATGGAATAGAGGAATCCAAATTATTCCCTACCCACAATGGTCAGGCGAAACGGCTCCTGTTCTAAGTCACTGGCTGTGATTCCTAAAGCCTAGGGCAAAGGTTCCAGCAGGGCATATAGGAGTGTAAAGCTAGAAACTAGAACAACTGAAGCCCCCCTGTGGGCTTCATACTTAACTGCCTTTTTTTTAAATACATTAAATTTTTTTTTTATTTTTAATTGTTGTAAAACACACAATATCATCTTAATTGACCATCTTAATCATTTTTAGGTGACCAGTTCAGGAGTGTTATGGTATACTCACATTGTTATGCAACTGCCTTTCTTTTCTTTAGAAAGATCAGTAATAGGCTTGCTCCTTCTTCACTTTTTTTTTTTAAACTTTTATCAGTAATTGCTCAATTGAAACTATGTTCCTTTCTCCTACCGGTCACTTACAACAGAATCCCTCTACTCTATAGTTCCTAAAGCAAATCCTCTAAGTTTTCCTAATTCTCTAATAAGTAAGGAGGTTGCAAACAAAGGAGTATAAAAAGGAAACTATAAACATTAAAATTCTTAAGTTAGGTCAAACTATTAACATATTCTATCTAGATTTCAAAATGTCTAATTAGTCTCTAAAGAGATCTCTATAGACAAAATAAAAAACATAAGTTAAATGAAGAGTCCAGTTAGAGTCCCTTATCTTGCCTAGTACCTAAGCTATGTATTCCAATCAATGTTTGATAATAAGTCAAAGGAGCTTTTAAGGAGTGTCAACCAGCAAGCAAGCCTCCCATGTATACAACAGTGTTTGCAACTGTTGTGATCCACATTTTTATCAAATAATAACAACACATTATGTGCATGACATGATGCTAGGAAGGAAATGAATATATGGATGATCAAAATCAGGGTCCAAAAATCTTAACCGCAGAGTTAAGTCTAGTAATTGATACAGATGTACACACGCATCTAAAATACCAACAGTACAAGTTATGAGACACATGTTCTCATATCACACCATATGTGAAAAGACATGGGGTTAACCATAAACCCAATGGGAGTCCATCCAAACAATGTGGTTACTCAAAAAAAAAAAAATCAATATACATTTAGGCCGTAATTAACATAAATTTGGTGTTCAAATGAGTGAGGTAATCAAACTCTGGACTGATCAGACCATTATCTGGATTATTACATCCAACTGGAAGTTAACATAATTTAGGTGGGATACTGACAAATTAACAGGTCTCCAAAGGAAAACAGTCATAATGAAAAGTGACTTACAGCCATTTCCTCAGTAGAATAAAGAAATACAATGGTTCATCTAGGGACAGAGAATCTGCTATGAATATCTAAAGAGCTTTATGTAGAAAATACAGAATACTTTCCCAGTACCTCAAAGAAACTAAAACTAAACACAGCGATCAGTGGGATCGATATAAGGAAACGCTAGAGTTGGAAAAATCAAAAAAAGAACAAACTGCCTTAAGTCTGTGTATTTCCAATGACAAGGGACTTAACTATCATTAGAGGTATAAAAAGTCATTAAGAAATAGGGTAGAAAAAAATAAAACCCTCACAAGTTATACTAGAAGGACTTTAAGATAATTGTAATCTGAATTTTATATAATTTTATGGCTTTAAGTGGTAAAGAAAATGGAATGCAGAAAATTACCCCTCTGAAATGTCCAATGTTCTAAGATAAAGAACATACAGCAAAGAAGGAAAAGCTAAGCAGCAGTAGTTAAGGGCTGATCCTTACAAATAGTTATGTTATAAAACATCTGGCCCAGAATCAGCGATAAACAGTTCAGTTTTCCAAAATGAATGAAAGAATGAATGAAACAAAAACATAAATAGCTAACTAACATCACATACTTCTGACACTTTTATCTTGTTTTGCCTTGGGTCAAGTTAGGGAAGCACACTACCCAACCCCCAGTTGCCTACCCCATCAACATACCTTAGACTTCCTATTCTGTTTTGGAATAGGATAGAAACTCATTCTTTTTTTTTTTTTTTTTTTTTTTTTTTTTTTTTTTTTAGTTTAGAAACTCATTCTCAATAGCAATTATATCTTTCCTATGCATTCTGAATGCAGTTAAGACATTACAATAAAATAAACACAATCCGACTAACATGTGATTTGAACTACACAAATATTTGTATATTTTAGATTTAGACGTAGTGTTTCTCTTGGAGAAATCTAATACTAATACAAATATTACAATGACCCTCCACATGCAAGTAATAATATTTTTATATCAAAGTCAGTTTGGATTATTTCTTACCTTTTCAACATCTGCCTTGGTTGCGTTAGTATCATTATCCAATCTTTCATAACTCTGTTGTGCCTTTTCTGCCTCTCTACATTCTCTTTCAAATTTCTTTTTACTCTGTTTAAAAAATTAAAATATCACACTAAGAAATAAAATTTACCTCGTAACTTTAAAATGTTGCCACTGTACACTGTATAGAATTACACACTAAAAGTAAATTTTTTCTAAAGTAGAAATTTTAGTATTACAAATAACCCATGTGACTTAAATATCAGACATTATAGACTGTGAAGGAAAAAAAAATCATAGGCATGCCTGAGTTAATATTATATACTTCATCTTTTGCTAGTAAGAAAAAAAAAATCACATGTATTTTCTAATTATTTATTATAAGCTCATCTTCAGAGGACTTTTTGCTTTGTGTGGTGTTTTGTGTTTGGTTTTGTATGTTTATTTGGTTGTTTTTGGTGTTTGCTTGTTTTTACTTTTTGTGGTGGGATGTGGGAATGTCCCTCCAAAGTGGTTTCCTACTGTTTTTTCCAGGTGTCTCAGGAATACCATTAGCCCAGAACTCGGACTTTAAATTTTTTTTTATTTAATACAAATTGCTACGACTTGGTAAAAGCTACTCATAATAGAGCCATGCAATATATACCATATTTCCTTTCTTGCATACTTTTTAAAGTTTTTAAATATTTATTGGGGGGGAGGGGCAGAGAGATGGAGACACAGAATCCGAAGCAGGTTCCAGGCTCTGAGCTGTCCGAAAAAAACAAACAAAACTTTTTTTTTTTTTAATTCCTAGACTAAATTTGCTTAGTTTTCAATGTACCTTTTTACATACTTTTGTAAATGTACTTTTAAGTCAACTCTAGTTTACACAGTTCTTTAAAAATCTGTCCTCGGGGCGCCTGGGTGGCTTGATTGGTTAAGCGTCGGACTTCAGCTCAGGTCACGATCTCACGGTCCGTGAGTTCAAGCCCTGCATTGGGCTCTGTGCTGACAGCTCAGAGCCTGGAGCCTGTTTCAGATTCTGTGTCTCCCTCTCTCTCTGCCCCTCCCCTGTTCATGCTCTGTCTCTCTCTGTCTCAAAAATAAATAAACATTAAAAAAAAAATTTTTTTTTAAATCTGTCCACAGTTAATTCAAACATATTCAGAATTCTATAAATTTTACTTTCTTGATGAGATCTCTTCCAAAGGCTTTGACCTACTGAAATTTGGGTTATTGAAATTTGGATTGGTTACACCAAAGTGGACCTACTACATAGCTGTTACCCTACAATTTCCCTTCACCATTATCAGATTCCTTTTACCTCTCCTTTGATTTGAATCTCCTATTTCCCAATTCCACACCTTCCCCTTTCTTGGTTCATTTCCTTATTTTGCTAGAACACATTCAGCAGTAGCTTCCTAGAAGATTTGTGGGAGCTAAGTCTCCATGGCCAAAAATAACTTCACCAACACTTTTAACTGATAAAATTTGGCTGGGTATGAAACTGTTGGAAACGGTCTTCCTTCAGAAATGTAAAAGTGCTAACCACTCCACTAACTTCTAGCTTCCTGCTCCCATTCTGATTATTGATCCTTTGCATAAAACATGTTTGTTTTGGGGGTGTCTGGGTGACTCAGTCGGTTAAGTGTCCAACTCTTGCGGCTCAGATCGTGATCTCACAGTTCGTGAGTCTGAGCCTCACACTGGGCTCTGCAATGACAGTGCAGAGCCTGCTTGGGATTCTCTTTCCCCCTCTCTCTCATTCATGCTCTCTCCCTCAAAATAAATAAACTTTAAAAAAAAAGTTTTTCTTAGAAAAGCCCACCTCTCATTGTAGCTGAAAATAGCTGATCCTTGCCACATCTGGAGCATGGTTAAATAATCTCATCCTGTCAAAGGCACCCATTAGAAAGTCTGCTGGGGATTTTTCTGAAAGTTTTCCCTCCCTGATAAAAAGGAACAGTTAGAAAAGAAATGCCCTCTTCTTCCTGCTTCTGCATGCAACTGAATGAGGATGTGGTGCTTGGCTGCTTCATTCAACTCCTGACCATAAGGGGACAAGCCTGAGGAAAAATGCCAACGTGGTCAAGATGGCAAAGTAGACAGAGAGAGGAGAAGCAGCCTTAGTGACATGACTGAGCTATGGACCAACTCTGGAACTGCTCCATTTCTGAGCCCTGTTCTTATAAATCTGCATGCTCTGTTTGTTACCTAAACCCACTAACCGATAGACCTGGCATCTTTGGTACTTTTTTCATATTAATCTCTCACCATTCCTTCAAAATCTTCTTTGCAGGCTATTCTCTTCTGCCCTCCATCTTTAATACCAGGGTGGCCTATTTTCATTATCCTGTGGTTCATAACTGTCTTTTAAACTGTCTTCCTCAATTTTCAATTTTCTCCCAGTTCTTTAAATCTCCTCTCAATAATTTCAAAAATATTAATAATCTTACAATTTCATTTTCCTGATTAAACAAGATAGAGAAGAAATGGGATCCTGCACATATTTCGACAAATTCCACAGAAATTATATTTGTCTCCCTCACTAGACCACAGGCTCCACAAAAATAAGGACTACGTCACTAATCACTTTTTTCACTATTCACTTTTGTACCAGGACTCAGTACATGTCAAAGATGCCTCCAATAAATACGAATTGAGCTGAACTCACCTTTAATGGTATTGCTAATCAATGTCTTAAAGACATTACTCCCACATTTTGTTTTGATGCTTCTTTCTTGTGACCCCTATAATTTTTGCTTATTAACTGTCAATTATTCTTTTTTTTTTTTATTTTAATGTTTATTTATTTTTGAGAGAGAGAGAGATAGAGAAAGACAGAGAGAGACAGACAGGGCAAGCAGGGGAGGGGTGCAGAGAGAGGGAGACACAGAATCTGAAGCAGGCTCCACACTCTGAGCTGTCAGTACGGAGCCCAACACGGGGCTCTAACTCACGAACTGCGAATCATGACCTGAGCTAAAGTCGGACACCCAACTGACTGAGCTACCCAGGCGTCCCTGTCAATTGTTCTAAAAGCAAGTCAGCACATAACAAAAATAATTTGTGTCAACACAAGTTTTTAAAGGGACCAATGACTCACGAGTGTAGGAGTCTGTTATTATGTGCAAATGAAAACACATACATACTCGTTAGGTGGCAGATTCTAAGAATGCTAGTTAAGGTAATTTAAAATTTAATAAATGTAAACACTCCCTAAAAGTCTTGTTAAAACCAATTAGAATGAAAATGAAAACAAAAATGAAAGAGACTATTAATAGAACTAAAAATTCTCAATCAGCACTGGTGCCTAGAATCTTACATCAATGATATTCATACAGTAGAAATTTAACCTAAGGTTTGAATATGTGTTTTTTTAAAAAAACATTTATTGAGGGGCGCCTGGGTGGCGCAGTCGGTTAAGCGTCCGACTTCAGCCAGGTCACGATCTCGCGGTCCGTGAGTTCGAGCCCCGCGTCGGGCTCTGGGCTGATGGCTCAGAGCCTGGACCCTGTTTCTGATTCTGTGTCTCCCTCTCTCTGCCCCTCCCCCGTTCATGCTCTGTCTCTCTCTGTCCCAAAAAAATAAATAAACGTTAAAAAAAAAAAATTAAAAAAAAAAAAATTTATTGAGAGAGAGAGAGAGAAACGTGTGTGTGTAGGGAAGGGGCAGAGAGAGACAGAGACAGAGACAGACTCTTAAGCAGGCTCGGTGCTGTCAGCACAGAGCCCGACGCAGGGCTCAATTCCACAAACTGTGAGTTCATGACCTGAGCCAAAATCAAGAGTCGGACGCTTAACCAACTGAGCCATACAGGCACCCCTAAATATGTGGTTTTAAAACAAGAAAAAATGGCCAAAAACACATATATACACGAGGTTTTTTCATCTCAAACTTAAAAGTCCCTTTCCCAACAATTACAAACTAAACTGATTAACATAACATGAAAAACTCCTTTTAGCATAATTTCCAAGGAATACAGTGTCCATAATAAAAATACGCAAGTAAAGAGTAAGCTGCTTGCGAACCTGAGGGTTCAAAAAGAATATTAATCTTGTACTACAGAACATCATTTGGCGGAGAATTTTAAGGAAAGGAGACAACAATGTTCCATGCAGACATATTGTTTTTCAAATGACTGTATGCCAGAATATCTAAGAAAAACCACATTAGCAAGTACCTTTGGAAAGTTTTTATAGTAAATAATTATTGCACTTTTATAATTTTATCTATAAATACTATCAAGTATTTTCTTTCCTATAATTTGAATGGTCTATGACCAGGAGTCCAGTACTAGGAATATTTTCATGATAGAATCACTGAACTGGAAGAAACATTTCACAAATCTAGTCCACAATCTTCAATTTTCATATTCTAAGGATGAAATCAAGAGAAATCATAAAAGGTACAACTACGATCTAAGTCCTCTCAGTCTCTGTCAAATGGTCTTCTAAGATACATCACTATTAATATCCCCATTACTCCTACCCTGTTATCAATAGTTTATAGTAACTACTGCAAAGTCAAAAACTGTTTTCCTAAACATTTACAGATATCTGAAGACCACAGAGTTGGTATAAGTATAGAACCATACAGAAAAAAATAACAAAATGCACATTCTCTTTTTATACCAATGTTAAAAATGAATAAATACATAGAGAAATATTCAACTCAATAGATGTGAAGCATAGGAGAATTTAGGGCTAAACTAGTCTATAAAATTTTATGTTAAGCATGAAGACACTATAACTCACATTATCCATCTGTTTCCAGCACATATCAAGATACTGTTGAGCTTTTCGTCCTTCTTGAAGATGCTGAAGATCATAACCAAAGAAAAAAAAAACAAAACAAAACAAAAAACAAATAAAACAAACAAAAATTACATTTAAATACTAAAAGTCTTTAAAAAACCCAAACGCTTTCGCTTAATTTTTTTAAGGTACTAATTATATAACTTGATATCAAGACTTAGGAAGAGATTATTAGTAGAGCAAAACTCTCAAATGCATTTTATAGGTATTATCTGAATACTGTAAGCATAACCTTTAAAACAGATATAATTTCTAGAAAAATACATATGTCTTAATTAAGGGTTGACAAATGTTTTCTATAAAGGGTCAGATATATATCTTAGGTTTTGCAAGCCATGTGGTCTCTGTTACAAATATTCAACTTTTCTGATATAATCAAAAGCAGCCACAGGCAATGCATAAATGAATAAGTATGGGCCTGTTTCAATAAAACTTTATTTATAGTCACTGAAATTTGAATTTCATACAATTTTCACATATCATGAAATATTCTTTTGATCTTCTTTTCAACTATCCAAAATGTACAAACCTTTCTTAGCCCATGGGAACTAAGAAAAACTGGCAGTAAGCTAAATTTGGCACATGGGCTGTAGGTTATCAAATCTTGGTCTTAAATCCAAAAAGGTTACAAATTAGCAAGAGTATCTTAAGATGATTTTGGCTAGAAGAAACTGAGTGAAACAGAAAACCAGTTTATACTGAACAAACATTACTTTGAAAAGCAAAGTAATTATGTGAAAATATTTCATATTATATATAACTGGATAAAAACAATAATTACCATTTTTCTTTCAGTTTTCAGATCATGAGCATATCTCATTAATTCACCATAAACTCTGTGCGCCATTTCTTCTGCTACTACTTCTCGTTGTCCTGCATAGTCATTCAACTCGTTAAGGATGTTAAAAAAGGCTATACACGAGGTAAACCTGACAAAAACATATTAAAAAATGGTGAAATTTCCTTTATTTTCTTTACAAATGTTTTTTGTGAGGTATGGATTCAGCCTGACACTTGACAAATTTTAACATACTCAACCTAACTCTTTCTTCACTACTAACTCCAAATTAACTTTGTATGAAAGAATCCCATATTAAGCTCAAGTTGTATATGTTTGTATACTTTCAAGTAGTCTTAATTTATAAATAAAGGGATATATGGGGTCAAAAAATATTAAGAATACTACCTGCAGGCTCTTTTGACATACTGGAATCTCTTAAGTAGCCAAGTGACTGGCCTGAGCTGGGGTGACTGGCCCACTTGGTTGGATTCCTAGGACTGGCAGCTGAACCTGGTGCAGAGATGATACGCTTGCTCTCGAGGACAGAACCTGCCAATCATACCACTCAAATGCATCTCGATGGCTGATCTACAGAACAATTTTGCTATCAGCTCTGGACACAGCTGCTTGTATGCCTGCCCACATCCTGAATGGAAGTAAAGTGCCATTATAGTTGGCACCAAAAGAGGGGTAAGAAGGGGCAAAAATAAGGGTAAAAAATGTGTGTGGAGAGAAGGAAAGAAACAAAGAGAATTGCTGTACTAAAATGTATAGATCTACTCTGAATACACTGCCAGACTATTCTTTTGGCTGAAGGCAAATAGCTCAGATAGAACTCCGTTAACACTAAACCTAAGAATCCTAACAATTAACAATTATACACAAAGCTGTTTTAAGTCTAGTCTCTTTGTTTCTGCATTTCAGAGCCATCCACATACCCCTGTTTAAGACCAAAAAGCTCATAAGTAATTCCCAAACTTTTATTCAGAGTTCCAAGATTACCCTGACAACCTCATTCCTTTTCATTATCCCTTTAAACCGACCAGCCAAACTATCTTAATACCTCTAAGAGTAAAATCAAGAATCTAATAAGCTAACAACTACAGAATCAAGTATGGAAAAAATACGAAAGACTAAGCGACTCAAGTGAAGTCCCACATACTTCAACTATTTCAGAAAACTGAGCCCACTGAAATATTCATTCTTATTAAAGTTGTTCCTTCTTCATATAACTGTGATTTAATTAAAACTTTAAAAAATCATTATAAAGGGCTAACAGCATATTTATTTTACTAAATAACACAAATATTAGTATTTTTTAAATTTTAATATGCAATAATAAACAGGTGTAGAATTTACCTTGGCTCTTCATCTTTGGAGGAACGTTTGGGACAGTACTTCTTAACCAGATTTCTATAGGAAGAAAAAAATTTTTTAACGTACAAAATATACTACTACTAAAACTGAAATATTCTCTAAGTTGCCAATTTCATGATATCAAGAATTTAATGATAAAAAACAAGACAGCAGTATAATCATCTACTACCATTAACATATTATCTCTACATTTTGTTCTGAAAATACTGGTATCTGTAAAAGGAAATGTTATTATCTGTGTTTGTATGAGTGTAATCATAATAATAAGGATGATTATGCTAGCAAATAAGCAAAGAGGAGGAAGAGAAGAAACAAAGTACTCAGTGTATGACACTGAGTCACAGCAAAAAGACATGTACTTCAAAGACATACCATCACTATTTTGTTTTGCAAATCAGATATTTTAAAATGAACTAAGATATGAAAACAAATGCTGATTCACTAATAGGATAAAAGAACAGTTGGTCAGCATCCTCCATAATTCTACTTTTATATGAACATCATTATGGGACCCTTCACATTCTCTTTTTTTAAGGCATATTAATTACACTTATACTGCAACTTTCTTTGCCTGCATCTACGTCCATTCTAGACAGTCTCAGACTAACATGCTACCTCATCTCATCTTTGCAAACTCATAAGAAGACTAGAACATGGACTCTGAAGTAACACTATACTACCTGGGTTTGAATCCTGGCTGTTTTGTGTGGCATCTAGTGTCCTTGGATAATTCACTTGCCCAATTTCCTATCAATAGCAATAACAGTACCTACACCCCACAGGGTTATGAAAATTAAAGTGGATAATATTTGTAAAGCATTTAACACAGTGCTTTATACAGTTCTCAAAATATGGTCCATGGACAAGTAAAGCTCCACAGATTGTTTGTGACTAATCCACAAAAAGCTAAGTACACAAGTTGAGAGTAAGTTTATGTCTATTGAATCTAATAATAAAAAAAATGGTGCCTGTATTTTACATGTCTCTTTTTTATGACATTTTTTTCTGGCATTAAATTTTTATTGGATTTTACAAAAGCAACAATACACAATGAATTGGAAACTCAAAAAGAAACTAGTTCATCAACACAAATATGATATATACTGCTTTAACCTATAGGCATTTAAAAAATAAATGGCCCTATGGCCTTTCAAATAAATACTTCAAAAGAAGCATTGTTCTAATTATTCTCAAATCATTATCAATTCATTCCATTTAATTCAGCTTATTCATTCTATAATTATCCTCTATATGCTAGGCACTGTGCAAGTTACTGGGAACATTAGAAATGAGAGAATATCCACATTCAAGATTTACATTCCATTGAAAGGAATACAGAAGTATATACCAATAATTACAACATACAACATAATAACTGCTATGATAAAGGTATGCAAAGGATGCTATAATACAAAAGAGAAGGTCTTAACACCCTGAAGAGTCAGGGGAGAGAACAGGCAAGACACTGAGGAGGGTTACATTTACCAAGTTAATTAAAAAACTCATAGTCACCACTGGTTGTAAAACAAGGTACAGGATAAAAGCTTCAGGCCTTACATTTATATACTTGTTTACCAAAAGTTTAATAGAAAGGAGGGGAAGGGGCCCCTGGATGGCTCAGTCTGACTTTGAGTGTCTGACTTTGGCTAGGGTCATGATCTCACAGTTCCTAAGTTCGAGCTCCGCATTGCTGACAGCTGACAGCTCAGAGCCTGGAGCCTGCTTTGGACTCTGTCTCCCTCTCTCTCTGACCCTCACCCCCCCCCCCCCCCTCCCTCTCTCCTGCCCTCCTCCTCTCTTTCTCTCAAAAAATAAACATTAAAAAATTAAAAAAAAAAAAAAAAAGAAAGAAAGAAAAAGAAAGGAGTTACTGTAAGATGGAAGAGAACAAAGATCCAGAGCTTCTCTCTTCCATAACACTCACGGCTACAAGTACATACAGTGCAACTCACTCTGGGAATGACCTGAAGACTAGCAGAACACCTCTTCTACAACTAAAGATATACAGAAAAAGCCCATCAAAAAAAGGATAGTACGGGCAGCGACATAGTCAGGAACCAGATATCACAGGTGCAGAGGTCTTACCTAAGGAGCAAAGGGATGAAGCCCTACATAAAGTACCCTCCCTCTCTGGGGATCTGCACAAGGAAAGCAAGCCCCCGTAACATCTGGCTTTGAAAATCACCAGGACTTAACTATGAGAGAGAGCCACAGGTCTACAGGAAACTGAGACTCTGCTCTTCAAAGAGCCAGTGAATATCATTCATGGGAGGCCCAGCACAGTGGCAGTAGTTTGAAACATGCCTGGACCATACGTGAAGGACATTTATGGACTAATTTTAGGAAGTATGCAGAAGAGCAGGTATCTGTAGGAAACTTCTCCAGAAATGGAAGCATTGGCAGTTGCCATCTTTCTTTCATTCCTTCAGCCTACTTGGCCCTCTCCTGGCAGGCACCACCAGTTCTGAAACTCTCCCATCTACTTTGGTAAAACTGTTCACCCAGTCCAGTGTTCCCCTGCAGACCTACCCTATTTAACCTATCTGCTCTGGCAGGTACCCCTCCAAAGCAACTCCTGACCTGGGAAAGGCCAGGGGCCCAGGAGCCCAGCTCCACACCCCCGAGCATGCCTGCTCAGCATGTCACAGTGGGGCCTGGCAGCCAGCTATACCAGGAGCTAACTCCACCACCACCACACTCACAACAGGCCTCTCAGCCAGGAGCACTGTGGCCCAGTCAGAACATGAGGGTGCGAAGAGCCCATACAGGGACTATCCCTGGAGTGCCTGGTTCTGCTGACCAAGGGAAATTGTATTACTTTGGCCCAAAGAATACCTTCTACATAAGGCCACTTGCTTTCAAGACCAGGAGCCACAGGTGACCTATCTAATATATGGAAACCAACAGAGAGACAGACAAAACAAGGAAATAGAGGAATACGATCCAAATGAAAGAAAGACAAAATCTCAGAAAAAGGACTAAATAGAACAGAAATAGGCAATCTACTGGATAAAGAATTCAAAATAATGGTCATAAAGATGCTCACCAGACTTGAGATAAGAATAGATGAATTCAGAATTTAAACAAGGAGTTAAGAAAATATAAAAAACAAATCTATGAGAGCTGAAAAATACAAAACATGAAGTGGAAAATACACTAAAGAATGCAAAAGGATGAATGAGTAATCTGGAAGACAGAGTAGTGGGACTCATCCTGAAAAGGAATTTTTAAAGAATAGGTTAAAGGGACGCCTGGGCAACATCAAGCATACTAACATTTGCATTATAGGGGTCCCAGATAGAAAAGAGAGAGGACAAAAAAACTTATCTGAAGAATTAATAGCTGAAAATTTCCCTTACTTGGAAAATAAAACAGATATCCATGCCAAGGAAGGAAAGAAAGCCCTAAAGGAGATGAACCCAAAGAGGTCCACAGCAAAGCACATAATAATGCAATGTCAAAAATTAAAGAGACAATCTTAAAGCAGCAAGACAAAAGCAAATATTATGTATACAGCAACAATCACCTAAGTCTATCAGCTGATTTCCAGCAGAAATTCTGCAAGCCACAAAGGAGTAGCATGACATTCCAAATGCCGAAAGGAAAAAAACCAACAACCAAGTATAGTCTACATAGCAAGGTTATCATTCAAAGTGAAGGAAAGATAGTTTCCCAAACAAGCAAAAATTAAAAAACTTTATCACCACTAAACTGACCTTAAAAAAAAGTGCTTTAGGGACTTCTTAAGGTAGAAAAGGCCATAAATAGAAGAAAGTTATGAAAAGAAAAAATTTCACCAGGAAAAGCAAATATATGGTGAAAGTATTAGATCACTCATAAAACTAGTAAGATGGTTAAAGACAAAAGCAGTAAAATCAATTTTGTTTACAATAATTAGTTAAGGGATACACAAAATAAAAAGATATAAAATGTACCATCAAATACATAAAACAAAAGTGCTTTAAGAATGTGTTTGAACTTAAGTGACCATCAATTTAAAATAGACTGCTATATACATAGCATGTTATATATTGAACCTCATGGTAACCACAAACCTAAAACAAGTAACAGATACACAAAAAAACAAAGAGAAAAGAACCCAAGCCTAACACTAAAAAAGGTCATCGGGGGCGCCTGGGTGGCTCAGTCTGTTAAGCAGCTGACTTCGGCTCAGGTCATAATCTCACAGTTTGTGAGTTCAAGCCCCAGGTCAGACTCTGTGCTGACAGCTCCGAGCCTGGAGCCTGCTTCGGATTCTGTGTGTGTGTCTCTCTCTGACCCTCCCCTGCTCACACTCCGTGTGTGTGTGTGTGTGTGTGTGTGTGTGTGTGTGTGTGTGTGTGTG